AAGGGTTTTTGACTTCCTAGCCGGGCTTACTTTTGGAAGACTGGGACTAACTCTACTGGACGTGAACTACTACTGGGAAGCGTAAAAAGCAAACCATCGAGCACAGGACGTTTAATACTTAGCTGCTCCTTATACATCTTATGTTGCCCATAGTGACACCTACCAGGCCGGCCGATCCAAGGTCCCTGGGCAGCTAAGCCGTAGCGGGAAGGTGGGTGGAGAAACAGGCAAGAGACGAGCGTAGACAGGAGGGAAGGGGAGCGAGATAAAGGGGCAGAGGAGGGAGAAGAGACGTCAGTAGCTGCTGAGCACTCACCCAGCAGAGTCCCGATAACGCGGGCAGCGCCCTCGTTGCGCCGCTCGTAGCTGTCCACGATGGAGGCCAAAATGACCGGGTGCAGCCGGACCACACGGCCGCCGGGGAAGGGGCCCGGGAGAGCCGGCGCGGCCAGCGACTGCGCCGGGGGCTGCGCCGGAGCCGGAGCCGGCGCGGAGGCTGGGGTCTGGCCGGGAGCCGCGGTCGCAGCAGCTGCCGCCGCCGCCACCGGGTCTGGGGAGGAGGCGGGCGCCGGAGTTGGAGCTGGAACCGGAGCCGGAGAAAGCGGTGGAGCTGAGGCTGGGGCCGGGGCTGGGTCTGGGGCTGCGGCTGGGGCCGCAGGCGGGGATGCAGCGGGCGGAGGAACGCTCGCCGGTACTGCCGGTGTGGCCATCTTGTCGAGAGAGAAGGAGCGTGGAGCGGAAGGGAGGAAGCTGGCCGGCACGGATCGCTCGATTGGCTGAGCGCGCACCGCGTGACCAAGGCCTCTGTTCCTATTGGTTACTGATGACGGTTCTCACGGAGCCACAATTTCCTGCGCTCGGAGCTCGTGCTCTTTGATGTCTGTCCGATGCGCACTCAGTGAGAGCGGAGTCAAATAGTTCCGAACGAACTTGTGACCGCGCTGGAAGAGAAACCATTCAGTGGGACAGTTGCCGCCAGGTGGAGGCAGAGAGCTGCATAAGGGTCGCAATGCGTGTTTCAGACTTCCCTGGGAGAAGGGCTGTCAAAAGTGCCTTTTATTAAAAAGGGCTTTGTTTTTGACAGCGTCATGAAGTGTAAATCCGTATAAGGTTTATTCATACAACAAATCGTGTGCCAGCCGAAACCGGTTTGGCTCAGGGGATAGAGCGTTGGCTTGCGGACTGAAAGGTCCCAGGTTCGATTCCGGTCAAGGGCATGTGCCTTGGTTGCTGGCAGATCCCCAGCAGGGGGTGTGCAAGAGGCAGCGGATCAATGATCCTCTCTCATCGATGTTTCTAACTCTCTATTCCTCTCTCTTCCTCTCTGTGAAAAATCAATAAAAAATATATTAAAACAAACAAACAAAAACAAATCGTGTGCCAGACTTTTTTTTACTTTTTTTTTTTTTTTTTTTTTAAGGCACTTGGCATATATCAGTGAATAAAACAAAGACCGTTTTCTCTGAAAGTTTACATTCTGGAGGGGAGTGAACAATAAGGACATTATATAATATGTTAGTGATGTGCTGCCTTAGCAGGTTTGGCTCAGTGGATAGAGTGTTGGCCCGAGAACTGAAGGGTCCCGGGTTCCATTCAGCCAAGGTCATGTACCTCCGTTGTATCTCTCTCACACTGATGTTTCTCTCTCACACATTCTTTCTCTTTCTGTCCTTCTCCTTCCCTTCCACTCTCTCTAAAAATCAATGGATAAATATCCTTGGGTAAAGATTAGAAAAAAAAAGTCATGTGCTAAAAAAGAAAAAAAGTAGCAGAGAGTAAGGGGGAATCAGGAGTTGTGAAAACTTAGGTCACACTGAGAATGTGAGATTTTAGTGAACTTGAAAAATGCGAGAGAGGCGCCCATGGGGGGCAGGGATGGGGAGGAAAAGCCTCCAGGTAGAGGGGAAGGCTGGTGCAAAGGCCTTCAGGCAAGAGCAGGCCTGGCGTGTTTGAGGAGGCGATTTGAGGGTCAGAGTGTTCAGGTGAAGGCAGGGAGTAGCAGGAGAGGGACCTCCAAAGAGGGGTTGGGCCCAGATCAGTGTGGACCTCCCAGGCCGTGGTGAGGCTCTAACTTTTCATCTGAGGGAGATGGGGAACCATTCCTGAGTTTTAAACAGGGGAGGGTCATGATCTGCCTTGTTTTAAAAGGATCGCTCTGGCTGCTTTGAGAAGAATATGGTGGGGGTGAGGCAGGTGAGAGAGAAAGAGCAGAGAGACACCAGGTAGGAGAACACGAGATCATCTAAGTGAGGGATGATGGTGGTTGGCACCAAACTAGTAGCAGTAAAAATGGTGAGAGGTGGGCAGATATTTTGAGGATGGAGACAAGAGGATTTTCTTTTCTTTTCTCTTTTCTTTTTTCTTTTCTTTTCTTTTCTTTTATTTTATTTTCTTTTTTCCTTCCTTCCTTCCTTCCTTCCTTCCTTCCTTCCTTCCTTCCTTCCTTCCTTCCTTCCTTCCTTCCTTCCTTTTCCTTTCTCCCTCCCTCCCTCCCTCCCTCCCTCCCTCCCTCCCTCCCTCCCTTCCTTCCTTGCCTTTTGTCTAAGAGGATTTTCTGAGAAACTGTATGTGTGAAAGAGATGACTCCAATTTTTATGTGCTGAGCAACTATCAATATTAAAGAAGTTGTCTGACTAATAGTGAAAACTACAAGCGTGGAGCAGGTTTCCGGGAAAAGACCATTTTTGGATGTGTCACCACTGAAATGTCCAGTAGACATCCCAGCAGCATTGTGGAGTGATCAGTGGAGATGCTAGTCTGTACTTTGGGAGAGGATTAAATGCATAATACTCTCTAAATCTCTTAGTACTTGCCTGATCACCACCATTATTATTAAGTGGTAGCTGTTACCATGACTGTGATGAAAATAACTCTGACACTAATGTGCACTGCGTGACTTTGGGCAATCTAGAATTCTTTTCTGAGCCCCGCCTTTTTTTTTTTTTTTTTTTTCTTGGTATAATGGGGGTGGTAACACCTGACTGTCAGGAAATCTGTCATCTCCCTTAATTAGGTCAGGTCCCAGCATTCAGCTGTCAAGTTGGGCGAATGAGTTTGGGCTTGTTATGCCCAAGAACTGCCTTCTCCTTGGAGCTGCCCCCTATCATTAGAATCGACACAGTCATCCTGCTCTCCTGTCAGTGCTCTGTGTAGACATACATTATTTTTTTTAAATTCCCCCAAACACAGGTGTACAGTCTATTAGAGAAGAATTGGATTCAATGACCTGGATCTTCAGCAACCCTAGTACACAGCACTTGTCAGTGGAATTGGGGTGTGGGGAGGAGCACATGGAAATCAGAATTCAGATGTGAAAGAAGGGTCAGTCTGAAGTGATGGCAGTGAGTGTTGGCTACTCTCTCAAGGAAGGTGCTGGGAAGAACAGACATTTAAGCTGTAGCTAGAGGAACATCAGGATCGAGAGGGGGCAATTTAGGCTGGAAGAGCTTTAAGTATTTTTTAAACTAAGGGTCAGGGTCTAGAGGAGAGAGAAAGGTAGACTATACACGCGTGAGTAAGGGGAGCTGTGTGATTAAACAAGGCAGGAATGGAGAAGCCTAGCGGAGAGAATGGTCTTGGGCAGGATGAGGAAGAGGCTGGAGAGGCTGCCCTGGGCTGTGGCCTCCTTTTTGGGTTTCTGGCAGGGGGCCTGCCTCAGCCCAGCAGGTGCCCTGGGATCATTCCGTAGCAAGAAGTCCAGAGGAGAGAACTGGCCCCAGTGAAGAGGTGTCGCCCAGGCACACCCCTTGGGATCTCCTACTCACAAGCTGACTTGAGTTGGATGTGGACCCTTCATCACCAAGAACTAAGGATATTTCTCTTTGGCAAGAAAGGAGAAAGGGGAGGATGAAAATCGGAGACACTTTGGAGAGAGAAGGGAAGTTGTAGGCGCTCCAGTCAAGTGATGTTTTTCTGGGGGAACTGGAGGCAAAGTGAAGGAAGAATGGCAATGCCAGGGTGTGGTTCAGCCTTGGGGCTTTGGATGAAGGGCAGAGAGCTAGCTATCAAAGGCGTTGATTGATCAATTATGGGAGGACCCAGGGCAGCCCGGAGACTTCAAGGATCTGGTCAACTTATACTATTTTCTCCAGCCACGTAGTTCAGGGGCAGGAGGAGAGAGGGTGTTGGCATGGCCTCCCCAGGGATACTGACTGGACAGAACAAGGGGGTGCACACATCCAGCATGTTGGCTTTTCAGTGGCTGACTGAGGTATCCAGGTAGGCTGAGCTCTTTATAGAATGACTAGCAGCCCTGTGCACAAATCTGTGCGCCAGTAGCTCTCTGCAGGGCCTCTGCAACCACTGCCCAGAAGCTCTCCTCGGCCAGAGGCTCATCCGTGACAGGGAAATGCAAACAACTTCTCTCCCTGTTCTTAGGAACTCCGTGAAGGGCTTCCTTCCTCTTTCTCAGCCAGCTTTTACCCCTGTGCCTCCACCACCAGTCCCTCCTGTCACACTATCCTCCACCCCCTCCACCCCCTGGCTGTCCGGACTTGACCTTGCCTGGGAGTTGGGGGCCACTCGATTCTGCTCAGCTCACCTGTTCCTTATCTTCTTATGCAGGCATTCTGCTCCCCGGCCTGGCTAAAGGCCCATCCGAGGCCAGGCGTGGAATGCTTGCTTTGTTGCCACAGCCACAAGCCAGGATTGGGGGACTCTGGTGGGGCTGAGAGGACTGAGCGCCGCCATCTTGTGGCTATGCTGCCATCTTTGTGATGGAATGATGGTTAATTTGCATATTGCCCTTTTATTAGGTAGGATAAGAGAGAGGAAGGGAAGAAAGGAGGGAGGGGGAGAGAAGAAGAAGAAGAAGAAGAAGAGAGAGAGAGCTATACCCATCAGCTAAGTTTATCTGTTTCTCTCTCTGTTTCGTCTGCTTTGACTTTCTGTTTCTTCTGCTCATTTCTCTCCTGTGCCTCTTTGTATCTCTTCTGTTTCCACCTTTGGTCTCTGTCTCTTTTGTCTCCATCCCTCCCCCTTTTGGGCATCAACTGTACCAGTTATCAGTTCTGCCCACAGCCAGGCGAGGGTTAATAGGGAGGGAGATCTCATTTCATTTCCTGCCTCCACCCTCCAATTAAAATTGGTTCTTTTGCATCTCATTTCTATTTCCTTCAGGTGTGACTCTCAGTCTCCAGATCAGAGATCTCCAGGCCTGGAGCCTTCTTGGGGAGGCAGACCTGAGAGCCTTCATAGTAAGTGGCCTCACTCCTCTCTTCTGTCACAGGATCTATGAGGCTGTGTTTCACTCTATTTTCCCATCGTGGTCTGTTGGGCTTGGCTCTTTGCTGTACTGTTTCTGTCTCTAGCCTCACCTTGGTCAAGGGTTCTGGGAGAGAACAGCTCCTATTCCTACCTGTTCTCCTGGACTCTGAGAGAACTCCCCGAGCCATGGGCGTGGGAAGCTTGGAGGCAGAGGAAAGGTGCCCGGGAGAGAGGCTCCCAGCAGTCACCTTCCGGCTTCTCCCCTCCTTACCTAGCCCTCTCATGCTTAGGACATGCTCTTACTCATATTTTTTGGAGAATACAGGGACCACCAGACGCGATTGCCCTTCCAGGGTGGTCATAGTATACATTTTAGTTAGATCAGTGCTCAGTGGTCATGTTGTTATTTCTATGCAAATGTTATTTACACCTGAGTGTTGTAACTTACTATTATGTAAAGATCCGACTTCCTTTTTTGTCTTTCCTTTGTTATTTCTTTTTTCTAGAGATAGTGGTTTCCTTGTTCCACTTTTGTGTAAACCTCTTGGTATTTATGGTTAGCTTTTCTAATAGCCCCTCCGTAGGATGTTTTTGGAGGCCAGTGGCACCAGTAAATCTCTCAATCCATCCTTTCCCTCTGGGAGAGTATTTATCAGGACCCCACCCTGCTCGGTCAGGGCTTCCTGGGCCACCAGCTGCCCAGGCCCTCTGACCAGCTGCCTTCCAGGCCTTGGTTTTGCTCCTTGTTTGGGTTCCTGCTTCACGAAACTCCAGGCTTCCTCCTTTTTCACTTCGGTGGATGTGAGCATGTCACCCAGTGGCTCCAACAACAAAGGTTGCTTCGGCCAAGGGGGTGGTGGTGACAGCACCCCGATTCCTTTGTTTCTCTATCAGACTGCCCCAGCTTGGCCTGGAGTCATGTTACAGAGGAGGGCTGGGGTTCAGAGGGAGATGGGGCATCCTTTTCTGTTGGTGTCAGAGAAGTTTCCTCCAGCCCCTGCCTTGCTTCTCCACTGTAATATGTTGAAAAACGAGGGCACGTTCTCTGCTGGTGAGGTCAGCGGGAATGTGTAGGTGTTTGTCTTTCTGCACCTGGACCAGCCCGTGAGTACCAGGGCCTGGTGAGTTTCATGGGATAGGTGTCCTGGTATCACACCCAGCCCTTTAATACCAGCCTCATCGAGCAGAAGTGAGCTTGTGAGCTTGGCTAGCGAACCAGGCCTGGCTTGGGAAGCTGTCTGATCACAAAGGGGATCTGTTTCAGTCTGTTCCCAGGACCTTGCTTGGAGCTCACTGTCCGGGGCTCATCTCCCACTCTCCCGGCCTCCACCCACTGAGCAGTCTGCTGTGCTTTCCTGCCGCCCACTGCAGAGATGCGCAGGGGAACCTGAGGCTTACTTGCAAATTGCTCCTGCGTTTCCAAATGGCCCTGTGACTTGCAGCCAAAGTCATATCCTAACAGATTCCTGCAATTTCCTCTCTTCTTTTGGCATGTACTCAGAATGCTGATCTTTGAAGCTAGACCACTTTCCTGGTTTCCAAATACCTTTTGCTCACTTTCAGACATTTCACTATGGAGATGGCTCCCCCACTGGCTTTCAATCACAGGTATAATTCTGAACTCTCAAAGTTTTCTATCCATCGTTGGTTTTCTTCTTCCTAGGACTGGCTCCCTGCCCACCTTTTAGCTTTCTGTGTCAAATACAATGCAGGACCCCACTCTCCTTCCTCTGCTGCTTTCATCTCTACATCTCCCTCCAGGTTCGGGAGGCAGTTAGCTTAACTCCCTGGTTTCTGTGCCCGTCTCCTGTGTCTTTGTGTTTTCATCTCTCTATCTGCCCAGGTCATGGACCAGAACTTAAATCCCCCCTCTATACCCACTGGTCTAGCTCCAGAAAATTCTGAACATTTCTCATCTGGAGGGATCCCCAAGGTAAACACGCAGCACAAAGTGGGCCCTCAAAGAGGCCATTTCTTTTATCGTGGTTAAAACTTGTCTCCTTATCTGAACAACAAGATTTTTTTGCTTTGAAATCCTGTGTTACTGAGTCCATGAGGCTGATGTGTAAGGCCAATGGGTTGATGAGTATAGTTTTTTTTTTATTTGTACTTTTAAAAAAATAATATTTAATTGATTTCAGAGAGGATAGGAGAGAGAGAGAGAAAGAGAGAGAGAAATCAATGATGAGAGAGAATCACTAATTGGCTGCCTCCTACACACCCCCAACTGGGAATCATGCTTGAAACCTAGGTAAGTGCCCCTGACTGGACTTGAACCTGGGACCCTTCAGTTCACAGGCCAATGCTCTATTTACTAAGCCAAACCATCTAGGGCAGTATAGTTTTTGTTTGTTTGTTAGTTTGTTTGTTTTACTTCTTTGCCATATCTCTGCAGTCCCAGAAAAATATAATTGTTTTCTTAACCCTGTCTAAGGAGGTATACAGGGCCTGATAAACACTGTGTGTGAGAGGGAGGGAGAAGGGAGAGGAGAAGGAGAGAGTCAGAGATTCACACACCCACACACCTTCTAATTGCCACACAAACAATGACGAAGGGCATGCAGGGAATTTCCCTGTCTTTCTTGGAATTCGACATGTCTTTCTGTCTCCTTGGCTGTGCTCGGTGGCTTACTGAGCACCCGGAAAGCAGGGCAGACTGAGGCGCCTTCGGCTGCTCTTTTCTCAGCAGTGCACTCCCTTTTCTTCTCTCCCCGCTTCTCCAGGTCACAGGTCTGCACTTGACCCTTCACACCAAGTACCATGGCCCTGGCCCTGGCCAACAACCCACAGGAGGCATTGCTTTTGGCCTTGAGAGACCTGGACGAAAATGACTTCAAGATATTAAAGTACCACTTACGGAACAGGACCCTGCTGCCCCGAGGGGAGCTGGAGGGCCTGAACCCGGTGGACCTGGCTTCTCGGCTGGTTTTGATGCACGGAGCGCGGGACGCTGTGAAAGTGGTGTGCCAGGTGCTGGAGGGCATGAAGCTGTTAGAGCTCGTGCACCAGCTCAGCCACATCTGTCTAAACGGTGAGTGCGGCAGGGGCTGGGGAGGTCAGGGTGGCACTGGACGCACCCTCCCCCATGGCATTTCTAAAACATTTCTAACTTAGTTCTTTTTTTTTTTCTTTTTTTTTTTTTTTTTAAATATTTTTATTGATTTCAGAGATGAAGGAAGAGAGAGAGAGAGAGAGAAACATCAGTGATGGCTGCCTCTTATACACTCCCCCACTGGGGATCGAGCCCAAAACCCGGACATGTGCCCTCAGCTGGAATCAAACCCGGGACCCTTCAGTCCACAGGCTGATGCTCTATCCATTGAGCCAAACCAGCCAGGGCTCTTCTTTCACTCTTGCCCTGAGCCCATGCCTGGGAGCCCCTGTGTCTCAGGGTCCTAGTGGGCCTAGTGGTCTCCAGCTAAAGACTCATGACCGTGGGCTGAAGGGTGGGAGCTGAGGGTGGGGTTTATTTATAGAAAGATTAGGGGATCTTATAGCCACTCTCTCCAGGTGTGGTGCCAGAGAAGGGAGGCGTGTGGAGAAAGGGGCTCGGAGCCGGGGGGTGGTGTTGGCGAAGGGCTTCCTGCTAACCAGAGAAATGGCGTCTGCGAGTGGATCAGTCCTCTCCCGGCTGCTCTCCTGCAGGCAGCCCAGGCTGCTTCCCAGAGAGGCCAGCCTGCCCCTGTGCCCGGCTCTTCCGGGGAACTGGTGGGCGACAGTGCCCGCAGAGTGGGTGGGCATGGAGCCCCCGTGGCCTCCTGCCCCTTCTCCCGGTGCTGGAGACCAGGGAGTGTCTGTGGTGCCCGTGCTCCCTCCACAGGCTCCTGTCATGCCCGGGAGCACCTGTGTGCAGAGGTGGGAGTTTCAATAGACTCAGAGCCACGCTCCCGCTCAGCAGCTGGTTTATCTTCGGCCGCTGCTAGAACAGCCTCCTGTGGCTTCACCATCCTGCAGCTCCCCTTCCCTTTGCCCCCTCTCTTCTCACCACCTCAGAGGCACACGCATTCCCACGCATACGCACTTCTGCAGGTACACACATTCTTACAAACACATACTTGCTGGTGCCCGCTGACACGCCTTCCCTACACAAAAATGCACAAGCTTCCATAAGCATGCTCCCATGAGCACGTATGGATACAAGGGTTCACTGCTGCCCACACATAGTCACACAGCAAACACGTGTTGCACACTCACACAGGTGTGCATGGAAACACCACACACATGAATGTACACACGCGTGCACGCACACACTAAACACTTGTTGCACACTTACACTGATGTGCATGCAAGCACCACACACGTGAATGTGCACCCGTGTGTGTGCACACACCAAACACGTGCTGCACACTTACACGGATGTGCATGCAAACACCACACGTGTGAAGGTGCACGCGTGTGCACGCACACCCTCATACATACATAGGTACAGCGGTCCCTCCCCATGAAGCCAGATGTATAACCTTCATGGAGACACAAGTCATAGAGCATAGAAGGGGAGCGTAGAGAGCAGGGCCCGGAGTCGCAAGGCCTTTCTGTCTTGTTCTGTTCCCATCTCAGCCCCTAACGCACTTGTGTCTGGCCCAGATTACAGAGACACATACCGGGAGTACGTGCGCTGCCTGGAGGAGGGGCAGGAGGAGGGAGTGAGCCGCAGCTACACCCCGCTGCTGCTGGTGGCCTCGACCAGCCCCGGGAGCCCGGAGCCCGAGCATGAGCCGGACCGCGTCCCGGTTGAGGCTCTGTTTGATCCGGGCCAGCAGCCCGGCCCAGGCCCGGCGGCCACGGTGGTGCTGCAGGGGTCCGCCGGCACGGGCAAGACGACGCTGGCAAGAAAGATGGTGCTGGACTGGGCCTCGGGCGCGCTGTACCGGGGCCGGTTTGACTACGTCTTCTACGTGGGCTGCAGGGAGGTGGGCCTGCTGCCGGAGGCCACGCTGGACCAGCTCCTGCGGTGGTGCTGCGGGGACAGCAGGGCGCCCGTGGCGGAGATCTGGAGGCAGCCCGAGCGGCTGCTGTTCATCCTGGACGGCTACGACGAGCTGCAGAGGCCCGTGGCCTGGGGGCTGCAGCGGCCCAGGCCGGCCCCCGCGCAGGACCTGCTGCACCGGCTCATCCGGAGGGAGGTCCTGCCCGCCTGCTCCCTGCTCATCACCACGCGGCCGCTGGCCCTGCGCAACCTGCAGGCCCTGCTCAGGCAGCCGCGCCACGTGCACGTCCGGGGCTTCTCGGAGGCCGAGAGGGAGCGGTACGTCCAGGCCTATTTCGCGGACCGGGAGCAAGCCCAGAAGGCCTGGGACTTCGTCCGTGGGAACGACGTGCTCTACCAAGCGTGCCAGGTGCCGGGCCTCTGCTGGGTGGTGTGCTCCTGGCTGAAGGGCCGGATGGAGAGGGGCGGGGAGGTCTCCGAGACGCCCAGCAGCGGCACCGACATCTTCATGGCCTACGTCTCCACCTTCCTGCCGCCCTGTGACAGCGATGGGGCCTCCTCCGAGCTCACCCGAGATGGGGTCCTGAGGGGCCTGTGCTCCCTGGCGGCCGAGGGGATCCAACACCAGAGGTTCCTGTTCGAGGAAGCTGAGCTCAGGAAGCACGGGCTAGACGGGCCCAGCCTGGCTGCGTTCCTGAGCAGCCACGACTACCAGGAGGGGCTGGACATCAAGAGGTTCTACAGCTTCCGCCACATCAGCTTCCAGGAGTTCTTCCACGCCATGTCCTACCTGGTGAGAGAGGACCAGAGCCAGCTGGGGGAGGAGTCCCTCCGGGAGGTGAACAGGCTGCTGGGCGACCCGGAGCAGGCAGAGGGGGAGCCGATGACCCTCAGCATGCAGTTCCTGTTGGACATCTCCAAAAAGGAGAGCTCCTCCAACTTGGAGCTCACGTTCTGCTTCAAAATCTCCCCCTCGATAAAGCAGGACCTGAGGAACTTCAAAGAGCAGATGACCTCTCTGAGGCATCACAGGGCCTGGGAGTGGGACTTCTTCCTGAACGAGGCCAAGATGAAGAGTCTGGCAAACTGTGTTCAGATGAGCCATGTGGCGCTGAAGGTGGAACATTCCAATGAAAAGAAAGCCACAAGCAGGAGCTCGTTTTCTGTCAGAACCAGCTTGAACAATGACAAGAAAGAGGAGCAGAAATGTCTGGATGTGAACCAAGGGAATGCAGCCGGGACACAACGGCAGGCTACTCCTGGGAAAGGCAGAGGGAAGAGGAAATAGAGAGCAGGAGGGGAGGAGGGGAGGAGGAGGACAGGAAGTGCAGGAGTGGAAGCATGAGAGCTGACGGTGGAGTGGAGAGACAGAAGGAGCGGGAAGACGGTAGAGAGGAATGGAGAGATGTGAGATTGAATCAGTGGGCACAAGGAGTGGAAGGATGGAACAGCAAGCAGAAAAGAGGAGTAGGGAGAGGGCCCTGTGGAATGAGTCCTTAGGCACAACCACACGTGTCCACAGGGCTCGGCATTAGTTATTTAGCACCGCCCACCTCCCCAAGGCTGTTTGTAAATTCCCCAAATGTAGTCTTATGATAGTCTCACATTTGACTCTTTCCTATAAAAATAAACTCCTTGCCAAAATCGGTTTTGCTCAGTGGATAGAGTGTCAGCCTGTGGACTGAAAGGTCCTAGGTTCGATTCCGGTCGATGGCATGTACCTTGGTTGCGGGCATATCACCAGTAGGGGGTGTGGAGGAGGCAGCTGATTGATTATTCTAACTCTATCTCCCTCCCTTCCTCTCTGTAAAAAAAAAAAAAAAAATCAATAAAATATATTAAAAAACAAACAAACAAAACAATATAATGAAATGTAGATTGTGCTCACTCTATAAGATTGGATAATGTGGAGCATATTAATGTCAGCAGTTAAAGAAAATGCACTGTGCTATAATGCAATGTCCCTTTGACTCTGTATTTGTGATCAATTGCTGCTTAAATACATAGTATCTTTCCATTTTTCTAGAAGCTGCTAGAATTTCCATGCTGGAAATGAGCGATGGCTTATAACAGACTTTTGGTCTTAGAAGCTATTCTGTGACTTGACTTACCTCTATGCTAATTCCATGCCACTGTTGTCTCCAGCTGTACGGTTAACTGGCTTCCTTTTTTTTTTTTTTTTTTTTTTTTTTTTTTTTTTTAAAGAGCAGTCCTTTCTAAGCACTAATCAAAGCATTTGCCTGTTTTGGCTCCCTCTGTACTTAAAAGAAGAGAAGGAAAGGGATTGCAAGTGTAGGTGTGGTCAGGCCCCAACCCTCATTTCACAGATGAAGAAACTGAAATTCAGTCCGGAGCCCCATTCATTTCTGGGGTTTGTAGACGCCCTCAAAGACCCTGTGCAGGCACCGGGAACCCACCCCCATCCTGCTGTTGCTGCTGGCTCCAGTGCAGCTGAGGGTGATGCTGCCTCGAACTCTCTGGGCCCCACAGAAAGTGCAGACGCTCCTCACATGTTTTTACCGCTATCATGGCTCTTCATGAGCTGATTCCACATGTGCCAATTGCAGCGATCTGCTGCACGTGCCCAGACATCCGAATCCAGGAAACTCAGCCCTGACTGGTCAGCTTCGTTTGCCATGAGAACAATTACTAAGTCTTCTTCTCATAGGAAGCTCGGTGGCTCTACATTTGGTAATAATATGCACAACATGTTGAATACAGACTGCATGTATACATAGAATGTGTAAAAAACAATATGTCTGTGCATGTACTACCTTAAAGAGCAATTAGTGCAGGATTACTGAAGAGGCTCGTTGGCACCCACTGGGCTAGGCTGTGTTGACCCCTAAAGCGCTTGGATACTCTCAGCATCCCAGCTCCCAGATGCCACAGAGAACTTGGGGACAGTGAAACAGGTGCCCAGCCACAATGCTGGATTTTCATGTGGCCCAAGTGGTCTATTTTATAAAAACATGGTTCTAACACTAATTGGGGTTTAGAGAGGTTATTTCACCTAGGATTCAAGTTCAATTCAAACTAACATTAACAAAAAATAAATGACTTACTGTATTCATTGATATATATATATATATATATATATATATATATATATATATAAAAACCCGACTTCCAGTTTTAGGTACATCTTGCTCATCCTAATGATGTCATCAAGGCTTTCACTCTCTCTCTCTGTTCTTTCTAGAGTTGCCTTTCTCTGGCTCTCATTTCAGAAAGTAACCTTTATGTGTCAGAGAAGATGGCCATAGGGACTTTGGCTGGAACTGTCCTTACAGTCAATAGTCCCAAAGGAAGAGGAGACTTTTTACTAATGGCTGTGGCAAGGAGTTGGGGGAGGGTCTGACTGTCCGTGGTATGTGCCACGCCTTGAACAGTCCCTCTGGTCTGGAAGATGAACTCTGATTGGCTAGACCCGAGTTTCATGGCTTAGGTCACATGGCCATACTTTCTAGGTCACTCTGCCACACCCCTGTGGCTGAATAAGAGAGGACCAACACTTCCAGAAATGCATGGGATGGGAGTGTGATTCCCAAAGGAAAGGATTTTGAACAGAAATATATAATATGTCACACAGCTATGTACACACACATGGTGTGTCTGATGGACAGGGGTTTCCTAAGGGGGCTGGGGGAAAGGGAGAGGCATGAGCCCTCTGTGCAGAAATGCAACCCCTTCCTCATCTGACCCCACTGCCTGCTGAAGGGACTCACTCTTGCTTTTCTTCTTATTTCCCTAAGAGACTCCGGAAGATGAAGAGCTCTATGTGTCATACTTCCAGGTCCCAATGAGCATCCCAACATGACAGAGGAGACTAAAACGTCCGCATAGGGCTCTTAGCCTTCAAAGTCAGACTCTCAGCCTGTTCAATGAAGGGAGAGTCAGTCCAGAGAATATCCCTTCATTAGTAGAATATGTGGCTATTCATCCCTTGGAGCCTTTTATACTCTCCTCCCCACCCCCCATGATTTCTGGACTTGGGAACCAGGTCTCAAACTGTGCAGAGTCCTTGAAGTGATTCATTTATAGACTTCTCCTTGGCCTGGTTTCTGTTTATTCTCCATTATTTCTTTTACCAAGATTTGAAATCCTCTCATCTTCATGAACCACATCCATGTCCTCCGGCACTATCAATGCACCCCCTAAAGCATTTCTTGTTTTGTTCCTCCTTTACACCCTTTCTATCCATCCTTCCAGTCTGTCTTGCCAAAACAACTAATAAAATTTGGTTGGGTTTCAGCTTTCAGCTTCTTCCCTGCATTGATACAATAATTTAAAGTAGACAAGGTGCTTTCTCCTTATGTATAGGGGCATTTGAGTGTGGACTCGCCATCACTCATTGGCCTCCTTTCCATCCCAACAGTACCTTCATTAAGGGGATTTTTTCATTAAACCTGTTTGGGTATGTATAGTTGGGACTGATGCTATTCCCATTTATGGGGTAGCGACCACAATGATGCATATCAAGCAGTATTTCCCATAGTCACAATGTCCGGTGTATGATTTCACAGTGAGCAATAAGGGAGGGGTCCTTGGATTGGTTTTTGTGAGTGAGAATCTTTTTTTTTCTTCTTTCTTTCAGGATAACTGGTATGTTTCCAAAAGACACAGATTAGAGATGATGTATCCCTAAATATTGTTGGCAGACTTAGTGCCTCTAGAGGGGAGACCTTCCTTGAGAATAGAACCTAATATAAGAAAACATAGATGCCCACACAAGTCCTGGTTACATCATCTGAGTTCTGGATAAAGCTGCACCTGCAGATTCATTCATCCCTGCATTCTGCTGGGACTGAGCCAATGGTCTCAATGATTGTTCAAGAGAGTATAGACCTGGCTAGGTAGATCAGTTGGCTAGAGCATCGTCCCAACATGCCAAGGTTGCAGGTTTAAGTCCCAGTCAGGGCACATATAAGAATCAATGAAGGTATAAGTAAAGTGGAACAAATCAGGGGGAAAAAAACATACAGATGGCCAGTAGACATATGAAAAAATGTTCAACGTCACTAATCACCAGAGAGATGAAAATTAAAATTAAAACTACAATGAAGTCACTTCATACTTTCCAGAATTGCTACCATCAATTAACCAACAAACATGTGCTTGCGAGGATATGGAGAAAAGGGACCCTAATATTATACACTGTTTGTGGGAATGCAGACTGGTGCAGCCACTGTGAAAAACGGTAGGGAATTTCCTCAAAAAATGTAAAATGGAACTGTCTTTGACCCAGCAATCCCACTTCTGGGGGTATATCCTAAGAATCCTCAAACACAAATCAGAAAGAATATATCCATCCCTATGCTCATAGCTGCATTACATATAATAGCCAAGATCTGGAAACAGCCCAAGTGTCCACCAGCTAAGGAGTAGACAAAAGAGCTGTGGTACATCTACACAGTGAAATACTATGCAGATGTATAAAAGAAGGAACTCTTACTATTTGCAACAGCATGGATGCTTGGAGATTATTATATTAAACGCAATAAACCAGTCAGAGAAAGACAAATATCATATGATCCCACTTATATGTGGAATCTAATGAACAAAATAAAATGACAAACAAAATAGAACCAGAGACATCGATACAAAGGATAGACTGACAGAGGTCAGAGGGAATGGGATTGGGAAGGACTAGATAAAATAAGGTGAAGAGAGTAGCCAAATCAACAGAGTGTGATGGCCAGGGGAGGGGTGGCGGGCGCTGGGTAAAGGTGGGCAAGTGGGGGAGAAAATGGGGGACATTTGTAATAGTGTCAACAATATAAAAAAAAGAAAGTATGGACTGGACTTTGAGTCCTTTGGTTCTCACATACTCTGTGTGATTAATAACATTATCTTTTTTATTTTTTATTTTGGCATTTCATAAAATAATTAAATTAGTGATTTAATATTATTTTATTATTTTACCATTTTAGAAGAAGATTGTGATAGTTGCAGTCACTGTACAGAGGGCAATTTGAGGTTTGCAATACTAGGTAATTACTTCTTCTTCTGTACTAATGTTTTGTGTTTTTTGTTTTTGTTTTTCTAATCTTCACTGTTGAAGTATTACATATGTCTCCTTTCCCCCGCATTGATCCCTCCTAGTCCACTCACTGCCCACCTGACTCATAACCTTCACCCCATTATTGTTTGTGTCCATGGCCTGGCCTTCTTGGCTTAGTGGTTGAGCATCGACCTATGAACCAGGAGGTCACAGTTAGATTCCCAGTCACTGGGCTCAATCCCCAGTAGAGGGCGTGCAGGAAGCAAATGATCAATGATTCTCATTACTGATATTTCTCTCTCTCCCTTCCTCTCTGAAGTCAATAAAAATATATTAAAAAAAAAACAAAAACCATTATCTTTATTTTATCATAAAAGCAAGAGCTAAAGAAGTTGCATATTTGCTCGAAGTCATGAAGCTGGTTCAGATTTTTGTTGTTGGTTTTTTAAGTATGTCTTTATTGATTTTTAGACAGAGAATAAGGAAGAGATAGAAACATCAATGTGTCATGGATCAGTTGCCTCCTTCACACCCCCTACTAAGAATCAAGCATAAAACCTAGGCATGTGCCCTGCTTGGGAATGGAACCTGGGACCTCTTGGTCTATGGTAGGGGTGTCGAACTCAATCAGAG